TTTCCCAGCTAGTCTGTGAGAAGAGTCAGGATTCCAATCCATGTGGTTCAGCTCCTGAACCCACAATCTTGACAAATCTGCTGCCTCACATTTGTCACATTTTTACTCAAACCTAACGAATTCATGGGTAGAAATCAGTCAAATGTGGTTTATGTTAGGAAACCACAGTCACTACACTTAATGTGTATTGTATCTTGCTTTTGGAGAACGAGTTGTATGGCCACAGGGCTCTGAGTGGTCTGCAACACTTTCCGATGTTGAAGACATCTTGTCTAGAGGCACCTGTGTTCTCTCCCTCCCTCTCTCACCCTTCTGGTAGACAGAGCTGCTAGGGAGATGGCTGAACACAGCTGTCAGAGTCTGACCCAACTTCCATATTCCACACCTTGTGCTCTGCGGTCTCTTATTCCCACCAAGTAACAAGTAACCTGTTTTCCCTAGTATAGCACTCTTGAGTTTATAACACTCAGGGCTTTGCTCTTCATTTTAATATGGGAGGATGTTGGACTTACAGGCGCTACCAACTGTGTTCTAACGTCCCATTGATTTCCTGTCAAAGAGAATATTGAGTGGGGAGAACAAGGACATTGTGGAGCCGTTGTTCCTGCTGTGGTCAGGGAGAGGAGGCAGCAGCTCGACAACGGGAAGTAAATGGCCCATTAGAGTTGGTGGTGAGGGTGAAAGCATGGAGGAGAATGCTACGTAATAGACCAAAAGTGTCAGGCTATGGGCAGAAAACGAATCAAAGAATGAATGAGGCAAAACAACCAATAGTCAAGGTCAGAATTCAAGGGATTGAGAAGCAGAAACATTTTGACATCCAGATAGAGGTGATGAAAGTATCCACCTAAATAACTGGTTAAATTGGCAGATGAATCAACAAATCCTATTTTTCCAAACCACCTTCCACCTCTGCCACTGGTTTTAGAAAACAAAGAAAAATAGGGCAAGAAAGAAACAAAAGAAAGAAGGAAATTATATTTATCGTACAGATGGAGGGGTGTTTTATGGAACCCAGGGTGTGAACGTAGCTGGGTCTCAGACATATGCAGAGCTCCGACATCCTCAGAAGTCCTCCTGTCTTTTCTTTTTTCTGTTTGCTCTTCACTCTTTCTTTTGCTTTCTCCAGGACCATAGCAGCTCCTTAACTTCTGTCTTAGAAGCCCATCCAGGTCATTTTATTCTGGATTCCAATTCTATAATTTAGGAAGAAAACAGTCTTGTTGTCCCAACTAAGTCAGGTGCCCACCCCCAGACTAAACCATTGTGCCTAGGTTTGGGGTCAAGTTGTATTGGCATAGCTGGTGAGAGCCTACTTTGTAGGTTAGAACTCATCTTTTAGTTTCACCGTTTCCCAGGCTAGTATATGTTGTTGTGAGCATCAAATTAAACAATATCTATGAAAGAGTGCCATGAAAAAGTGACACTATTACAATTCTTAGGGCTGAGATTGGTAACCAGGGGAAAGAGCATGGAGCCCAAACTGCTTTTGCAGTAATAATAGTTTCCATGTATTATAAACATATCCTGGATATATACAGTCCTATAAATTGAAATAATTTGCTTCTAAGACCATGTCACCTATTCTGAAGTGAAGGTGGATCTCAGAATTAGAGAGGGGTGGTTATTATTTGGTTTTCCAAAAACTAAAACAGGAGACAGATAAGACTAATCAAGGATGTTTGAAGGGGAAAGTGGCTAGATTTTAAGATTGCTCAGTAGAATCTGTTTCTGGAAACTAAACTAATTGTACAGCTGGAAAGAGTGCCTTGTGTTGCTATTGATACTTGTTTCTCACTAACTTTGTCACAAAGATGCTTTGATGCTCTGCACCTAAAGGTAGATATCATCGCTTTCTTTTAGTTGTAAGCAAAGTGCTTGAGATTACGTGGTCCCCTGGCTGTAAATGTCTGTTAACTTCCTTGAATCTTCCTGCACTACAAAGACAAGCAAAAAAGAAGATGCACACACACACACACACATACACAATCTACTAAGCTAAAAGAAAAACGCCATAAGCTTTCATTTAAAATTTTTAGAGAATCTTTGCTTGAGATCACAGTATCTATTTTTAGTCAATTAAAGCCTTAAATTCCATTCTACTTCAAAGGGTTCTAGAAGAAGGCAATACAGACTGCTTGTTTTAGTTCTAACTTGCTGTGTTGCTTCGAGTAAATTATTTAACTTACTTCTGGGGTTTTTGGACAAGAAGTAACATGAGTCTGCTTCTTGAGTGTTTCCAGAACACTTAAAAACCATCCTGGAGTACATTATCTAAAGTAACTCATGGCTGAGTCTGTTTTCCCTTGATGGCAGTAGACTGCAGAGTTTTAATTACAAATGTTCTTGGCATGATTTTAAGTAACAGTAAGATGCACCATCAGTTTACTAAAAAAATTCAAGATAAAGGTAGAGAGAAAAAAAGTATGAAACAATGGTAGTATACCTTTGGATTTCAGTTGCATGAAAACATAAAATATGAACATCTATAAGTTGAAGAACTGTAGTGATGCCTACCTCCTAGGGTGGTTGTGAGGATTAAATGAGATTATATATGAGAATATGATTTCATGCTCTTAAGTGTTATAATATAAATATTGATGGTTGATTTACTTGCTGTACAGCCAAGCCTTTAATAATCTCTATCCCTAAATTTTATAGTAGGGGCAAAGTGAGGGTCAGAGAAATAAAATGACTTTTTGTATACTTATGGTTCGTGGCACAGCTGAGACAGAAAGAGGACTTTCTAAATGGTTGATGTTGACAATGATTAGTAATTGTAGTTATATACAGTGAAGCATCAGAGCTCAAACAAAACAGTGTAACCTCAGCTCAAACAAAGCAGTCGTGAAATGCCAATCCCCTAAATGCACAATGCCTTAGCAATAGTACAGGATAAGGCCAGGCTGATTTAGGTCATGGCATTAGGGTGGCTGGAATTGAGGGCATATGAGAAATGTACACGTGTAGAATTCTGATGTGTTAAATGAGCTTCCTCCCCATGGAAAACAAAATTGTGCTCAGCCTGAGTGAAGGGTTTGCTGGAATGCCAAGTCCTCTGTTTGGGATATCCCTCCAGGAGGCCAACCCCATCCCTAAGCAGTTGGCCTTGATCTGAAAATGACAAAGCAGAATGAATCTCCGGTATATGACTCCTGGCCCTGAACAGACCTGTTTGCAGCAGAACCATACGTGGCTGTGACTTAGTCACCAGGAGGCTGGGCTGTAGTCATCAGGAGACTGGGCCGATGACACTGCTGGAGTTACAAGAAATGAATCTTTTTTTTTTTTTTAAGATTTATTTATTTATTTGAAAAGCAGAGTTACAGAGAGGCAGAAGGGGAGCGGGAGAGAGAGAGAGAGAGAGAGAGAAAGGTCTTCCTTCCGTTGGTTCACTCCCCAGATGGCCGCAATGCCGGGAGCTGGGCCAATCTGAAGCTGGGAGCCAGGAGCTTCTGGGTCTCCCACGTGGGTGCAGGGGCCCAAGGACTTGAACCATCTTCTGCTACTTTCCCAGGCGCATTAGCATGGAGCCGAATCAGAAGTGGAGCAGCTTGAACCCCAACCGGTGCCCCATATGGGCGTAGGCTCTGCAAGCAGCACCTTGACCGGCTAGGCCACAGCAAAGGCCCCAAAATGAACCTTTCAATCACCTGACTCATTCTGCTGCATCTCTGACGGGACACTAGACCCCACAGCAGCTTTCCTCAAGGCTTATCAAAGCTTTGCAGGCAGGACCCAGCGCACTGTGGCTTTATCTATAGAAGGCAGATTAGGAGGGGGTTGTCACCATCTCCCACCCTCTCCTGGGGCTGTGACGCCTGGTTAAACGATTGCTGTAAGCTCCCTGGCTGAGTGAAGCAGAACCAGGTCTCTTAACTGTGATGCTCAACCTGGCATTAGTCTGGCCAGCTCTTCAAACGGAAGCCAGCTGCATAACGCGGTCAAGGATTTGAAAAGTAGGACGTGTCCGTTAGTTGGCACACAGCAGTATGCTGGAGGCGGGTCCCCCGGGAGTCCTGGCTTTCCCGGGGCCCAGAGCCTGGAGGAAGGCAGTAAGAGCGCACCGCCACGCCCTGGTCGAGGGGCCTCCTGGCCCGTGGCTTCTGTCTGTCTCTTTAGGTACCCTGCCTCCTGCGGCGGGAACCAGCCAGCGGGCGCCCTGTTCCCCCATGGGCTAGTGGAAGCTAAGGCCCGCACAGCGCGCTGCTGCGCCTTCTTTAGTCTTTGTTTGCAGTGCAGGAGAATCTATGCGCTCTTCGCCTTTTAAAAAACGGTGTCCTAATGTGAGACTGTTTCTTGCCAGCGTGAAACTTCCGCAGGCAGAGCCGGCCGCGCTGCGAGCCCTACCTTCTGCCTCCCGCTCGGCCGGCCTCCCGATCCGAGGTTCCCTGGGCGGCGCGGAGAGAAGAGCCGAGCAGATCGACAGCCGGTCGCGGGTGGGAAGCTGCTCCCGCAGCTGGTGGCTGGCGCAGCAGAAAGGGGAGATTATTCCATTCATAAAACTCACATCGCGGCTTGCTGCTTCGCCCGCCGCCACCCCCGCAGCTGGGCAGGGCCGGGCGTGAGTGCCCAGGGCCTCGGAGCCCGTGGCGGCGCGTGCTCGGGATTCTCCAGGAGGCCCCAGTTTGCAACCCCCGCCACGTGCGCTCACTGGGTCTCTCCAGACCGCTGACCTCTAGCACGGATGAGCACCCTGGGCTGAGACGCAGAGACAAGATGGCTTTGCGGCTCAATTCATAAATGAAACCCCCTCCTTTGAGTTCGGGCTGTCCGACATTTTGTGACATGCCTCTTTTTTTTTTTTTTTTTTTTTTTTTTTTTTTGGTTTATCATAGATTTCGGAAGCGACTACCCAACCCTACTGCATATCCTTTTCTAAACGACTGGCTTTTTAGGGCCCTGTTTTTACAGTTTTCACGCTGGTGAGTGGGGAGGGAGGGGCATGGAAATGATGGCGGGGGCGGGGCGGGGCAGGTGTCCTAACGAAAGACGCGATCTCCATCCCAATGACGAGTGGTTATTAACAACGGTCCTCCCTGCGAAACCCTTAACACTGCCCCTCGGCTTCCCTAGCAGCAGGAGGCGAGCCCTCATTCGCGGAGCTGGCGCCTCCCCGCCCCCTCCCCACTACTCTTCGCTCTGGAAATTACAACTCCTGCGCGCGCTGCGCGGGCAAGCGGCGACGGCGGCGGCGGCGGCGGCAGCGGCTGGGAGGCTGGGAAGGGATTCCCGAGCCCGCCTGGCCCTCGCCCTCCGCCCGCCCGCCCACCGGCTGCAGCGTCGCGCGGCCAAGGTCAGAGGCGCCGCAGGAACAGCAGCTGCTAACCAGGGAAGTGGGTCAATCCTGGCCGCAGGAAGAAAGCCCCAGGGCGCAGCCGTCCCGCGCTCGCAGCTGAAGGCGAAGAGGGCGGTCTTTGGGCCGGTCGGGCTCCGCTCTGGTGGCCGCGGCCGCAGCGACCCAGCGAGTGGAGGCCCAGTTGTCCACAAGCTGTGAGCTTCCGCCCAAGCTGCTGCTCCGGGCGCTGTCCGCCGCCTCGTGGTGCTGAACCCAACGCACAGCAGAGCCTGCGCACCTGCCGGCTCACCTGCCGATCGCCCGGATAGGGGGCGGGGCGGGAAAAGGTAGTCTTGGGGCAGACGCCCTCCGCATCTGAGGGCTGGAAACCGAGAGCCAGCGGATAGGAGCCCGGCCGCTGGTCCTGGTGTTAAGACGAGGCGCGCCGCAGTCGGCCGCGGCGCCAGTGCTGATTCATCACCTGGAGCGCCTTGCAGGCCACCGCCAGGGCAACCGACAGGCCCCGGACTCCGGCCGCAGGTTGAAGCCGCAGGTGCAGGAGCCTCGCGAACAGGAGGTGAGGACCCCCTCCTTTCTCCTGGCCCCAGTCATCTTAGGGCGGTGGCCACAGGACAGAGGGGCGTGCCCCCGGCAGTGAAGTGTTAGTGCTCGTGTGATGCCCTGGTTCGCGCCTCATCGGTGCTAACCGCGCTTGTCCTCCTCCGCCCATTTCTAGAGCTCCGGCCTGTTTCCCCTGGAGCCCCGAGGAGCTCGGGCTGCCGGCGCCGCCATGGAGGAGGAGCTGAAGTGTCCCGTGTGCGGCTCTCTGTTTCGGGAACCCATCATCCTGCCCTGTTCCCACAACGTCTGCCTGCCTTGCGCTCGCACCATTGCGGTACAGACCCCGGACGGCGAGCAGCACCTGCCCCCGCCGCTCCTGCTTTCCCGGGGCTCAGGGCTGCCTGCAGGCGCTGCTGCCGCCGCTCCGACCCTGGACCAAGATGCGGCTGCAGGGCCGGCCTGCGGCGGTACAGGCGGGGCCGCAGGGGGCGGCCTGGGCGGCGGCGCGGGAGCTGGAGGAGACCACGCAGACAAGCTGAGCTTGTACAGCGAGACAGATAGCGGCTATGGCTCCTACACCCCAAGCCTCAAGTCCCCCAATGGGGTTCGGGTGCTGCCCATGGTGCCGGCGCCACCTGGCTCGTCGGCTGCCGCGGCCCGTGGTGCCGCCTGCTCGTCGCTGTCCTCGTCCTCAAGCTCCATCACGTGCCCGCAGTGCCACCGCAGCGCCTCTTTGGACCACCGCGGTCTGCGCGGCTTCCAGCGCAACCGGCTGCTAGAAGCCATCGTGCAACGGTACCAGCAGGGCCGCGGGGCCGCGCCCGGGGCCTCCGCTCCGGCGCCCGTGGCCATCTGCCAGTTGTGTGACCGCACCCCGCCGGAGCCGGCCGCCACGCTCTGCGAGCAGTGCGACGTGCTGTACTGTGCTGCCTGCCAGCTCAAGTGCCATCCATCCCGGGGACCCTTCGCTAAGCATCGCCTGGTGCAGCCGCCACCGCCTCCTGCCCCCGCCGAGGCTCCCTCGGCGTCCCCTGGCACGGCCCAGGGCGCCCCCAGCGGAGGCGGTGGCTGCAGGAGCCCCGGGGGCGCAGCGGCAGGGGGCAGTACAACCCGGAAGTTCCCCACGTGTCCCGAACACGAAATGGAGAACTACAGTATGTACTGTGTGAGCTGCCGAACCCCAGTGTGTTACCTGTGCCTGGAAGAGGGCCGGCACGGCAAGCACGAGGTGAAGCCCCTGGGGGCCATGTGGAAACAGCACAAGGTGAGTGAGCGAGCGCGGGGGCCAAGGAAGAAAGTGCGAGGAGAAGGGTTCTTGGCAGAGGGTCGGCCAGAGGGTGAGGCAGCAGGCGCCTCCTCATTCATTCCACCAGTCAGTCATTTGACAGACGCTGGCTTAATGAACTGCAGGTGCTCTGAGCTAGTTTGGGGGATGGGAAGAGTAAGGGCAGACAGTTTAGTAAGTTCCTTCGCACGTCCCATTGTGCGATTCCACAAAGAGCCCCCAAAATGCAGAAGCAGAGCTCTTTTACCCCCAAAGGTACCGTGAAGGCCCCCCTGGTTTGAGCTATGTAAGATCCCCCTTTCTTCTTTGAAAAAACTTTTATTTTTTTTTAAAGTGTCTTATCACCTGGTTGCAGGAAAATGTCTAATGCCTTCTTGTACTCTGCTAATCTGCTTCCAAGACAGGACAGCTTCTCTCCAAGCCCTCGCTAAGGGATACACAATTTCCTGCTACACACACACACACACACACACACACACCAGTTCACTTCTGGAGCATAGATTTTCCATCTCTTCCAGTTAGTCTGCGTCACTTTCTACCTCCAGGAAGCCTCCCAGCTTAAAGGGAAGATCTAATTCCTCCTGGGCCTTGTGTGAGCATTTGGTTGTGTGCCCTTTCACAAAGGGAGCCTGTTTTCTCCAGAGCCCTTCTCTTGCCTGGGCCAATGGAGAGTGGTGGAGTCACTGAATAAACTCTTAGAAGACAGCCAGGCACACCTGCATTTGTAGGCTGTCCACAAGCCTTCCTCCCCTGAGCTTTGAGGGGTGGGGGATGGGGGTGCTGCCTCAGCAACTTATGGATGAAATGTGTCTTTGTATCTAGTGCAGGGGGTGGGGGGGCAAGCCACCAAAATCTGGTCAGGCCCTTGATTGGGCCCCAAGGAAAGACTGGGGTCAATTTTTCTAACATTCACCTAGATTTCCTTTCCAAAGGCCCAAACAGAGTGATTGGGCTCATTGCCCAGAGGTCTATGAGCCCTTATTCAAGGGCCCCTGACTGCACCTGCATTTCAGACAACAATGATTCAGTGCACTCTTTCCAGTAAACTTCCGCCCCAGAAGAGGCAGAAGGTCTCCAAACTGCCTGGCTGGAAATACTGTATGTGTTGGAGTGAGGAAAGGCACAGGAAAATAAAGTCAATTGCCAAGGCCACGCTGTGCCATCTAACTGGAAATAGGTTAAATGGGAAGCGCAGAAGAGGAGACTAATTGTTCACATATAGGTTTGTTGTTCATATATATATATATACATGGAATATATATATAGTCTTACTATATATAATTTCATCTGTTACAATGAGCATATGTTGTTATTGTAATTTAACATTTTAAAATAAAAACTAGAATAAAAACAAATTGGAAACTCCTTAGAAATACACCTTGGAAAGGGAGATTTGCATAGCAGATCGGAAAAGAGGAAATGGGAGTCAAATCCTTCATTTATGAGCAATTGGGGCCAATTTGCATTTCCTACCCTAAATGCATCTAGTGGGTAGAAGCCAGGGAGGTGACTTAACACCCTGTGGTGCACAGGAAAAGCCCCCCAAACAATTAACTAGCCCCCAATGTCAACGGCGCCTCTGGTGAAACCCTCCCTGCAATTATTCAGACCTGCCCCCATTTCTCAGGATTTACAATGTAGTAGCTGTATGAGTTTCGGCACAAATTTCAACCTACTGAAAATTATCATGGGGATTAAATATATCAAACTACTTGTTTAGCTTCTAGCACAGTACCTGGTCCATGAAATGTTACTAATTATCTTTATGGTCCCAATACTTAAAAAAATCACTGCACTTACAGAAACCTATAGGGCAGCAATGAAGAGTGCTTATTTGGCCTCATTGACTTGGTTACCTGGAGAAAAGGTGAGCTGGTAACTTCTGATGTTAATGCTGAGTCCTAAAATAGCTCTCAGGATGTATGCCCTCAATTAGTTATCATTCACATGACATTCCGTGGCATATTGTTTCACAGTAATGGTAGCTGCCTTACTTAGGTCATCTTTTAAGTAATTAGATATCATTTTGCAAGTTAAAAAAAATCATTTATAAAGAGGCTTTTTTATCAGTTACAAGGCAAGAAGTATAGGTTCTAAATCTCACATTCAGATTTCACAGCTGTTAAATTTTCACAGCCAAGGGGGTCAAAACTGATCTTGGCTGTTACCACTCAAATGTTAAGAATCAGTGAAGAGCAGGAACTGAACAGATTTGAGGTGAGGATCTGTAATCATAAAAGAGTAAATATCTTACATGGAAAAAATGAGTCTGATGATGAGTCGTGCCTTCAATAATCAAGGTTGTTTGGGGATCAATCATTGGTCATCCCTGGCTTGGTGTCAACAGCAGCTTTTTTTTTTTTTTTTTCAAATTTCTATCCTCAACCAACAATGCAAAATTATGAGGAAATACAAGAAGCAGGTACAAGAAGCAGGTGTGCTATCTGCTTCAGGAAGTGGACAGGATAACCTGTGGGGATAGGACTGTGCGGGATCTGTTGTCTCCAGTGCCACTGCTTCAGGGAACTAAGACAGCATCCTACCCTCGGGAGGAGTGCCACTTTGGGGCAAACCTGTTCCTGAGAATGGGTGGAAGCTCTGCTGTTCTCCTTCAGCAGGTGCCATTGTTTTTCTAAAAGAGGACAAATTCTGAGTGCTTATTATGAGCATCTCAAGTAGGAGCTGGAGATCAAGAGAAGAGACAAACAAGGGAGCGCTGGTCAGCCTTTGGTGGGTGGGCATTTAGAACACCATGTGAACTGAGCGTGACTACTTTTGCAAAATACACTAGTATATTCCATTTCAGACTCCCAGTGTGGCAGTTTAAGTTCCTTAGTATACCTCAAGGTCTGTGGGTTTTTTGTTTTGTTTTGTTATGCCTAAAAATCCTGGAACTCATGGAAAGTCTCCTTGGACTAGGAGAACTAGAATTGGGACAGCAACATTTTCCTAACATTCCTGTGATTGGAGAAGCCTTCATCAAAGCCCGGCTTTAACTCCTCTCCGGCATACCTGATTATGTGATTCTTAGGTAAAAAGACATAGAAGTGACACTGAAATCTATTTTAAAACGAGACTGATTGTCACCTTTTAAAAACAGTGTGAAAAACGTTAGTCCTTGGCAAAACACAATTTTATATGATTCTTTTGGAAGAGGGTTAACCGTTTCAAAGAACCTCTGATGTGAAAAAATTCTGTGTTCTGTGAAAAGCAGGACAGGGGAGGGGAGAAAGGAATTCTGGACAAGTGCTCTTTGCTTCTTTCCTGGGACTGAAAGGAAACCTATTCACTGTCTGGATTTCCTTTTGGTTTGTGATGTTGTTCTATAAAGAATCAGAGAGAACATCTTGTCCAGTCCTTCTCCACTTCTGAAGGGCCTGTCCAGGTTGTGGAGAGATTGTGACAGTCATGCCAGAGGGTCTGGGCAGACCTTGGTGAGAGCTTCAGCAGATTCATCCTGTCCTGTTTAGACTTGCCCTCTGCAAAGCTTTTTATGGCAAGAACTGTAGGGGGCTTAGATTTTTTATTTTCTAAGGCTGGCTCTTTCCGAATAGAGGTTATAAACTGTAGCCTCCTTGATTTGCCAATAAGGAAGGTTGGGGTGGCAGTGCTTGCTAAACTGGCATAGCGAGTTGTAAAATAATTTTGTAAAACACGGCCCCTTATTTAAGTCCCTCAGTGGACATTTTGAATAACTATGAAAATACAACAGGATGCTATATATTTTTTAAAGATTTATTTACTTATTTGAAAGGCAGAGTTACAGAGAGGCAGAGAGAGAGAGAGAGAGAGAGAGAGAGAGAGAGAGAAAGGTCTTCCATCCACTGGTTCACTTCCCAGATGGCCACAACAACTGGAGCTATGCTGATCCGAAGTGAAGCCAGGAGCCAGGAGCTTCTTCTGGGTCTCCCACACGGGGTGTAGGGGCCCAAGGACTTGGGCCATCTTCTACTGCTTTCCTAGGCCATAGCAGAGCGCTGGATCTGAAGTGGAGCAGCTGGGACTCAACCAGTGCCCATGTGGGATGCTGACACTGCAGGTAGCGGCTTTACCCGCTACACCACAGTGCCAGCGCCAGGATGCGATAATTGTACCTAAACAAAA